ATTATGATGTTTTTCATTTAATTGCTTTTTAGAAACAGAACTTAGCATCATTTAAAATAGCTAATGAATTTAATCTGATAGGTTAGTGAGAGTATAGATTTTGTACATCACTTTTGGAAAACAGTGGTATTCATGAACCTTAAAATATGTGTGCCCTTTGACCCAGTTCTGCTTCTGAAAATTTTTTTGCACGGTGGCTCACGCCTGTAATCCTAGCACTCTGGGAGGCCAAGGTGGGAGGATCATTTGAGCTCAGGAGTTCGAGACCAGCCTGAGCAAGAGCAAGACCCCGTCTCTACTAAAAATAGAAAAAAGAAAATTGGCCAAACAACTAAAAATAGAAAAAATTAGCCGGGCATGGTGGTGCATGCCTGTAGTCCCAGCTACCTGGGAGGCTGCGGCAGGATGATCGCTCGAGCCCGGGAGTTTGAGGTTGCTGTGAGCTAGGCTGACACCACAGCACTCTAGCCCAGGCAAGAGAGTGAGACTCTGTCTCAAAAAAAAAAAAAATCTTTTGCCTTATGTAAAAATTTTTCATAATAGCACAATTAATAGTGAAGAAAAATTAGAAGTAATCTAAATGTCCAACAAGAGAATGAACTAAGGAAACCATGTAATGTTTACTTAAAGCATTGTGATATAGCCGCTAATAGTGATTTTTTTACTAAGTATTTTTAATAACATGGAAAAATGCTAGTAAAAAGTGAAAAGAACAGAATACAAAATTTGATATGCTGTAAAATCACAGCTATAATGAAATGATCTGGCCAGGCGCAGTGGCTCACGCCTGTAATCCTAGCACTCTGGGAGGCTGAGGCGGGTGGATCGCTCAAGGTAAGGAGTTCAAGACCAGCCTGAGCAAGAGCGAGACCCCGTCTCTACTAAAAATAGAAAGAAATTATCTGGACAACTAAAAATATATGTATATATAGAAAAAATTAGCTGGGCATGGTGGCGCATGCCTGTTGTCCCAGCTATTTGGGAGGCTGAGGCAGGAGGATCGCTTGAGCCCAGGCGTTTGAGGTTGCTGTGAGCTAGGCTGACGCCACAGCACTCTAGCCAGGGCAATAGCCAGATCTGTCTCAAAAAAAAAAAAAAAGAAATGATCCGTAAATAAAATGACTAGAAGGAAATATGGTAAACTTAATAGTGAATATATTGAAACTATAGGTTATCTCTTTTCTTTATACTTTTCTGTTTTACAAAAGTTATATCTATTATTTTTATGATGCAGAAAATAAGGCACACCTTATATTTAAGAGAAAAATTATACTTGTGTTAGAAAGGAGAAATGAGAATGAAGAGTAGAAGAAGAAAACATTATGCATTGTACAAAAAATGGTAATGGTTACTATACTCCAGTTCTAAGATTTGATGGTTCTTGATAAGATGTTAATGGACTGGAGATACAGAAAGAATTCCGAAAGTATTTTTTAAAAAATTATCTTCTTAAATGATAATTGTATGAAACTTTCACAGTAGGGGTAGCTTTTTTTTCCTCCCAAGTACAATTTTTTAAGAAATTGACACTTTCCATTCTTTTGGGTGAACTAATTTTCATGCATAGTTAACATTGTTTTAGCCAAAAACTTTTCACATTTAAAATCCTGCATTTTGATATTCAGCTTTGTCTGTTCTTATCCAAGTTTTTGAGGCCTCAAAAACTGAGTAGTTTAAAATTTTATTAGTCTAAAGAATATTTTATCAGGAAGTTCTTAATTCTCCCTTCAGGAAACGATTATACATGGAAGTATTTGAATATACTCGCCCTATGATGCATCCTGAACCTGGTAAATTCTACCAGATTAATCCAGAAGAATATGAACATCCAAATCCTTGGAAAGAGAGTTTCCAGCAGTTGGTATGAATTATAAATAGAAAATATTGATTTATATTATACGTCTGTAAATAAAAATTTCTTTTTAAAAAATAAATTTAGCTGGGCACAGTGGTGCAATGCCTATAGTCCCAGCTATTCAGGAGGCTAAGGCAGGAAGATCACTTGAGCCCCAGGAGTTCAAGTGCAGCAAGGGCAACATAGCAAGACTCGGTGTCATGGGAAAAAAAAATTAATAAATAAATAAATTTAAGTTCAAGAATAGGTTTTAAAGGTAAACCAATGAACATTTATCAACCAATAGAATATTTAACAATTCTTTTCATTACTGATATATCTTTGAATAATTTAGTGGCAATAAGTGTCAGTACTGTGAGAGCAGTTATGATTTCAGTGAGTCTATTTGAACTTGTATGCCATGTTTAGCATAATTTTCATATGGTCCTTTATGAGTGGTTCTCAGCTGGGGATGATTTTGCTCTCCAAGGGACATTTGGCAATTTCTGGAGACATTTTTTGATTGTCACAATGGGAGAAAAGGGTGCTGCTGGTATCTAGCTGGGTAGAGGCTACAATGCACAGAACGGCCCCCACAACAAAGAATTATCTGGCCAAAAATACCAATAGTGCTGAGATTGAGAAACACTGTTCTTTCTTGATATTACTGAGTTGTAACTTGTTCTGGATTTTACATTATACACTGTGACAGGAAATTATTTGGAATACTTTAGAATTGTTTTGATATTTTAAAAAAGTTATTCATGTAGTGGTACATTAATTTAGAATATAATGTTTACATTAGTCAATGTTTGGTTTTGTTTTGTTTTTGACATTTTAGTATAAAGGTGCACATGTAAAGCCAGGATTTGCTGAACATTTCTACAGTAACCCTGCAAGATATAAAGGAAGAGAAAATATGTTGGTATGTTTGATTTGTATTTTTCTGACTTAAAATGGTAATCTTTCAGTTATATACTAACATTTTTATTTTCTTCTAGTATTATGATACTATTGAAGATGCCCTTGGTGGGGTACAAGAAGCCCATTTTGATGGACTTATCTTTGTTCATTCTGGAATATATACTGATGAATGGATATATATTGAATCTCCAATCACCATGATTGGTGCAGGTATTTAGAAATGATTGTCATTTGAATTTTAATATTTTATTTGATTTAATGATGGGATTTTAAAATGCTAGTGACTTAAAATCCAGTTGAACTTTGATAATACCTTACTAGTAGGATAGGAATGAAGATATCACACATATTTTATGTGAAAGATACGAAAACATGTAAGAGTTCAGAAATTACAGATGTATATATTTCTTGATGTCAGTACTTTTTCCAGTTGCCTTTAGTTATTCATTAAAGAAAAATGTTCTATCTTTTATTTGAAAATAAGGATGCTAATGTTTTTATTGCTATGTTTTTAAAGGAACTGAAATGTAATTTTTAAATATTTTTTGTACTATTTCAAAGCTGTTTTATGGTCAAGTTTCTAAGAATAAATGTAATGAAATATCTGTTAAATACTGATGAGTCATTTGAAGATTTGTTGCTATCTCGTTTTTTGAACAGTATGTAGACCATTTTAAGATAGCTAATGATTATTATTTGCTAATGAAATTTGCATTTACTACTGCTTTTGCTTCCCTCCCCCATCTCCATCATAAAGAAGGGGAGAGAGTGTAAAAAAATTTTTGTCTGATGATTTTATTACATTCCAAATTGAGGCCAGTGTTGGAAATAAATTTAAATAAAGAGGTCTCTTCTCTCCCTGAGCTGCTTTTTCCGGCGCTGCTGCTGGTGGTGCTTTTGTTTTCATAAGAAACCATTTTTTAATATGCCACTGCATTTGATGTTAATGATATTTGTAGTTGAATATTATTAGAACTATTCTTATTCGTGAATTTGAGTATAATGGTAATCAAATAATATCCTCCGTTAAATATGAATGCTTGTAGTAAAGCTGATGAAACATAGTTAACTGATAAAGTGCATATTAGTCCTACTCAGTACTAATGTTTTTAAAAAGTTTCCCCTCCGTGGAAGTACCCATCTGTTGAAATGGAATAAAGGTAATATGCCTTAAAATATCTTTTCCACAGCACCTGGAAAAGTAGCAGACAAAGTTATAATTGAAAACACTAGAGATTCAACCTTTGTTTTTATGGAAGGCTCTGAAGATGCTTATGTTGGATATATGACAATAAGGGTAAGAAATTTTAAGATTTAAAATATACATGTTGAAATAATAAAAGTGGTGGCTGTTTATTTGAAACAAAATTTCTACTTTGCAGTTTAACCCTGATGACAAATCTGCTCAACACCACAATGCACACCACTGCTTAGAGATTACAGTAAATTGTAGCCCTATTATTGATCACTGTATCATCCGAAGTACATGCACAGGTTAGTGTTTCCTTTATCTTTTACAGTGAAATTGAGTCACTGTTCTTGCCAGTAGGTTTTTAATAAATGAATAATTTTTCTTACAGTTGGTTCTGCAGTATGTGTTAGTGGTCAAGGAGCATGTCCTACTATCAAGCACTGTAACATCAGCGACTGTGAAAATGTTGGACTTTATATAACAGATCATGCACAGGTATTTTTGAATTTGGGGTTTTTCCTTTTTTAAAAGTTTTTTAAAACTCTACTAATGTTGTTTCTGATGAATTTTTGTAGGGAATATATGAGGATAATGAAATTTCCAATAATGCTTTAGCTGGGATTTGGGTTAAAAATCATGGAAACCCAATTATTAGACGGAATCATATTCATCATGGACGTGACGTTGGTGTGTTCACATTTGATCATGGCATGGTGAGAACATTTATTTTTAATAGAAAGACTGATGCCTGTATCAGTTAAATTTTGAATATGTTTCATCACTATTTTCTCATTACCAAATTATCTGAATTGAAGAGTATAGGTTGGTTTAAAAGCAGTTTGTTTCAGCGTTATATTTTAAAATCAGTATGCAATTTTCTATAAATTTATGCATCAAACATTATATCCATGTAGAGGTGATAGAGTTCTTAGGGAATTGATGTGGGCTTTGAGAGGAACAAAAGGTCTAATCCAGTAGTTGGTTCTCAATCAGTAGTTAGTTCTCCAATTAGTAGTAGTTTGCATAAAAATTACCTATAAACTTTTTTTGTTAAGAGTGAACCATACTTCATTTTATTGGCATTGTCAATTTATGAACAAGACAGTATTTTTTTTTCCATGAAGTGAGATCGTTTTCAATTTGCCATAACATGAGCCCACACATCTTCACCTTGGAAATGTGGCATTTCAAGCAGAGTAGATCATGCCTTTTTCACTTTCACAATTTTTATGCTGCTGCCAGAAGTCTTCTCGGCACTTGCTTTGAATTCTGTCTTCAGTGCATCTCTCACTGCTTTTGTACAGATCTGGGAGTATCGGATGTAGCTAAGTCCGGCCTGGTGCCAGTAAGCCACCATGATGTCACGAGAGTGCAGCGGTTCGGGCCGAATCGTGGGGACAATAAGCTTTTTTTTTTATGAAAATTCCTGTGTTTTCCCCCAATATGATAAATCAGAATTTCCAAAAATGGGGCCTAGGATATGTGCTTTTAATAAGCACCATAAGAAAGTCTAATGCAGGTTATTGAGAAAGAAGGGATTCATCATTAGTTTCGTGTCCATTTTATTGCTCTTGAAAAAAATTTTAACTGGCAGAACATTAATAGGAGATACAGTGATAATAAAGTATCAGTTCTAAAACTGTTACGCAGCAATTATATTAGACATCCTTATGGATGATACTATGTTTTAAATACTACTGTATGATTTTACATAATTTTCTAGAGACATGACCTTTTTCAGCTCTCTGAGATCACTATTTCAAAATAATGTTCTTGGATATCTATTCAGATATTTTTTTCATTTAATGTATAATTTTCCTTCAGGTAATTTTCAAATCCTAGTACAGCATTGGCAGAATTTTTTGTGGTGGGATCAAAGAGATGGGAAAGAGGGTGGTAACATGGTGGCAAATAAAGTTATGGTGAGGTTTTGTTGCCTATATATAGCATTAACCAAGCAACCTAGGAATGTTGGATTTACATATACAAATTTTCAGTGGCAAAGAAAATTTTTTACTATTTGTGCCTGGAACCTTAACACAGAGCTCTTTATAAAAATTAAACTAGATGATAAGGAGTACCCTGTTATCAAATATTAATTAGACCTAAATAGTTTCAGACCAGAGATCAGTTAGTTCATCATATTAACTAGTTCCTGGTGTAACTGTACCTGAGACAAACAATTCAGTTACAACTCAGGCTGTAATTTGAGCCTGGAGGTGACCACTTAACCCTTCTCCAGCTAAAATAAAGGAATTGACATTTTGTGGGAAAGTGCAACTCTTTTTCCCAAGAGTTGGGAAATGGGGGGAGTCTGGGTAAAGGTGTAGAGGATGTTGAAACAAAAGACTCTTGAGAATCTGCCCTCCCCTAGAGACTTATATTGGTTAGAGTCCCTAAGTGGAACTTTCATTTCGTAATGGAACTATACTGTGCTGGTATTTTGTTGCCTATGTTGTCTTTAGGCTATGCCACAGAGTCACACACAATTCAAGTATATTTATGTGTGTTTCTGTCTCATTCACAAATGATTTGAGGTACCAAGATAATTTTAACCTGAGTACAAGTTCCTCATTTTTGAAAAGTCCTGTGATGATGGTCCCTTACTAAAATTAACCTTAGTAATCTACTCCTCATCACATAACCCCTTAAGTTTTTGTTTTTTTATAGATTTGGGTTTATGAATATTACAACATTTTTTAAAACAACTCTAGGCAATGCTGTAGATAAATCTTCCCATTAAGGATTAATGAGAAGATTTGTGAAGTATTATAGATTTGTAAGGGAAGGATGGAAATAAAGCATATCCTGGGCCTATCATATCTATTGTTTTAGTATTGTGATACAATCAGTAAAAACGCTTTGGCAGGTTGTTCCATTGGAGGCTTTCTTTTGGCTTGTCTTCTTTGTGTTGACAGCTCATGATTGATAAAATAATCTCCATCACAAAGGATGACCTTTTTTTAAAATTTGGCTTTTTCTGTAGACCTTCAGAGAACATCAGAATAAACATTTGACTAGTTAATACTGCACCATCCTTTAAGTGTATTCATATTTGTGTGTGTTTTCTGAAATTATGTCCTTTTCCTTATCTATGACATACTTAGAATTCTTGCATTCCTAAGAATGAATCATAAAATTTTCTCATTTTTATTTTTTTAAAAAGTCAGTGTTTTTGTAAAGATAGTACATGCCTAGTTTAAAGAGCCCTCTAAAATTTCAAAGGGTATGACTTTAGAGTTTGTCTTTGTAAATTGCACATTTAAACTTTGAAATAAAGCATGAACTTCTCCCTATGAAAAAGGAGTAAACAAATATACTTTATATTTCAACCTCTCTCTACCTCATCATTTATATCATTATTTTTTGGTAAAGGTTTAAAACATTTATATTCCTAAAGTTATTGGTCTATATTTACTCTGTATTTATTTATCATTAGTTCTTTTATCAGTTTCCCCATTCCTTTTTTTTTTTGATTCATTCTTGATGTGGCTGGGGTTTGTCATCCATCTAGCCATTTTTTAAATTTTGTTTATTTTTTAAATAAGGATTTATGGCTATTACAGCTTGAATTCTTACCATTTGAGAATGCCTGTCTCTGTTACCTTTTAACTTAGCTGAGTATGCAATTTGATTATACTTTCTTTCCCATAGAATTCTATAGACATTTTTCTGTTCTGGCATTGAGTGTGGCTAAGAACTCTGAGATCACCTGGTTTTTTTTTCTTTCTGGTGTTGATTTGCTTTTCTGCCTCAGTATCCATATTTTGCTTTGGGTTTTTGTGTTTTAGTATTTCTCTGTTCCATATGTTCCTTTCTTTAGAAACTTGGCTGTCATCTCTATTTTTTATATTGCTGTGTTCTTTTCCTACGTTATTTCCTCAAATCTGTGTCCCTTACTGTATCTCCATAGTTTTGTCTGTTTTTCTGTTGTTATTTTGCTTCCAGTGTGGGTTTTGTCTCTAAATTTTACATTTCTAAGTTGGTTTTTTTGTTGTTGTTGTTTTGTTTTGTTTTTTCTGTTTTTTAGTAGAGACGGGGTCTTGCTCTTGCTCAGAGCTGGTCTTGAACTCCTGAGTTCAAGCAATCATCCCGACTCGGCTTCCCAGAATGCTAGGATTACAAGCATGAGCCACTGCACCAGGCCTAAATTTTACATTTCTTAATGGAATCTTTCTAACATACACAGAGGTAGAGAGACTAGTATAATGAATCTCCATGTACCTATTATCTTTGAACAACTATCAATTCATGGCCAATTTTGTTTTACATATAGCTCTTCAGTTACTCCTCACTCCCTTTTTTGTGCTCTGGATTATTTTAAAGTAAATACCAGGCATCGTCTCATCTGTAAACATTTTACCATGTACCTTTAAAGGATGGAGATTCTTTATTACTTTTTGTTTGTTTCACATAACCACAATGCCAGTCTTACTCATAAAAGAATAATTAGGAATAATGGCCTAATATCATCAAATTTTTCTGTTAATGTTCACTGTTCCCAGTTGTCTTTTGTTTGTTTAATATTCAGTCCATTGCACAGTGTTATTTTTGTAAAATGAGATTAAAATGTCATAGCATGCTGGCCCTGGTGACTCACACCTGTCATCCCTGTGCTTTGGGAGGCCAAGGTGGGAGGATTGCTTGAGCTCAAGAGTTCCAAACCAGCCTGAGC